TGTGACTTTAAAAACCGGCAAACTCTGTTCCAACATCAGAATATTTCCTGGCGAAACAGAAAATTGGCCAACCTTTATTACAAAACTACTTCTACAAGTCTCATTGCACTATCACCACTGAATGAAAACCAGAAGGAAAGATCCTCTTGATTTACAATCGAGAAAAATTATATGCCACGCCCTTACAGCCTGCGGCTTCAGTCCTTTGTCTGAAGCCTGAGTCTAGTAAAATATTGTTCAGTCTAGCAAGCTCAGCAACACTAAGCTCTACTGAAAATGATGCAGCAAACAAGTTTTAGCCACTAGATTCAAGAGTCTATGGTTAAGTGCCTTTAGGTGAATGTAATGCGATTCGCATTATTTTGTAAGCAAAAACCAACCAAACACACTTCCCAAAGCTAGACACCCTCTCTGAGATTAAATACTGCGAAAAAGACAAGGCATGACAAGTGCACCTTAGGGAGAATCAGACTCTCAACACTTGCATGTGTTGCTCTTATGGCAAGAGGTCTTCAGGATGCGTTTTTCTAGTACTTGAACATGAGCAAGTCTTGGACCAACACTTACTCTCTTAGGGGGTAAAGGTCATGTACTTGCTCATGTCATTCATCATGTCAAATAAAAACCTTGCAAACACAAGAATGACTAGTTGTTCGCCATATGGTCTGATGTTTTTTCAAAACCGTTTTTTTCCGGGTTTTCCATAACAATAAAATTTCAGATTTCAATTGGACCAACTAAGAGACCTAACCATACTCCGTCCTTGGTGTTGCCTAGAAAACATCACCACACTAAATCCAAGGATATTTGAATGAACCTGAAACTATTCTTGAAACAATTTGACAAATGTCCAAATGGAAAATAATGAAATAAATTTCAATCTTATCCTGAGTTGCAATAAAAAAAAAAAAAATCCCTTTGGAATAACAAGTTACAGACTGTATTTAAACAGGTGTAAGACACATATATTGTACTTTAAGAAAATCTAAATTTTGGAGTAAATTAGTCAGTATCTTCTGGCAACAAAGTTTAAGATACATTGATGCCAGTGGTCACCAAGAACATGCATTACCGGGTTAAATGAGGAGAATTAAGCAGGACAGGCAAACACACTAACCACTTGGCCACATGTTTCTTTCAAACACATTATTAAGCAGAGGTGTCACAATTCACCACTTGACAATATGATACACGTTACATCGACCCATGTATTGAGTCATCTTTTAATTCTGTATCGATTTTCAAAAAGTAATATTTACAAAGTTTTACAATAGCCAGCCTGAACAAACTTGTGCTGGGTTACCTTGCAGCCTGGCACGAAACTAAATGCATAATACGATTGCATAATATTCAAAGTCTAAATTAACCAAGTGAATTTAACAGAAACTGGTTGATAGCAATCTCATTAAAGGATGAGTTCTCGCTGCCGCTAAACAAAGATCTGAGGACATCCCATTACGGGTCACGTCAGAACGACCTTTCGCGACCTTTGACCAACCACTGAAATGACAAACATCAGCCAATTAGAAAGCAGCTTTCTCGAGCTTTACGGTACTCGTTTCAATCTGGCGACTTCCATTTCAGAATACGCTTGAAATATGTTGGCACAGTTCTCGATTGAAATTTTGAAAACTGAACAAATGAACATCCGGAATGTCTAATATATGGTTGAAATTGTATGAAAGTACTCCCCATGTACTGTGCAACGCGTCCTCCGTTCAAATGTTTGACCCACGGAAGCGAGAGATAAACGATAATTTTGACGGAATCAGTGGTACGGGCCGTAACTGTCATTCAGAATACCCCGTGTTAACGTTTTCGAGGTTGCATGATGAAAAAACACATTCTGACTGTCACTTTCATGACCTGGGAAGCGATGCTTTGATTGGTTGGATGAAAAGTCATTCTGACGTGACCCGTAATGGGATGTCCTCAGATCTTTGTTTAGCGATAGCGAGAACTAAGATCGGATTTTAATGAGATTGGGTTGACAGCAACCACCTCTTGTCAGCTACGCAAGATGGACTGTGAGGATTCATACGCAAAAACAGTGCAAATGGAATACTGTGATAGAACCGTATCTTGATTTCAGTATCGCAGTTTCAATACATGAGGTAGGCGTATAGTGGCACCTCTACGTTGAAGACATTGATGCACATACAATGAAAACAAAACGTAATCAGTAAGCTTCGCAGGTCACCTGAGTGCAGACTTACCATATTCGATGTAATAAGCGCCCACGGCGATATTTGCTAATATATTGGCTAGTGAACAATCCTAATTAGCACCCCTTCCGATTGATCAATGTACACAAGACTTATTCATTCGCATATAATACACACTCATGTGTTATATGCACCCTTAATTATGGGCAATTAAATTCTGGAAAAATATATCTGTCGTACATAAACATTTCAGGCTGTCAGCATAAACCACGAAATTTATCTTTTAACTGTTTTTTTCACTAAAATAATATTCTAATAAGAGCCCCCATTTCTAATTTTGAGAGCGTCCTGGGCGCTTATTACGTCGAATGCGGTATATTATGTCATTAGTTTTCTTAAGATTTTGACAAGAGGTATTAAACAGTTTTGATAAAGCAACCACATTTTCCACAATACCAAAAGAACGAGAGAAAAGAAAATTCACTGAATTGTGTCATCTCTTCCTTTCGCCCCTGTTTCCATTTGAAGTTTGAGATTGTCACGTCGTACAGCAGTTAAGGTGTATTTGTATCACAAAATATCTTCTTGTTTACATGCTGTTACCATGGTAACCAAAGAAAAATATACCTAATAAAAATGGCAGACATAGAAATATTTTCCACACATTAACTTTGAAATCTCCTTCTACACCTGAGGAAGAGACAGTACATTTGAATCCAAACAACCTTTTTTTTCATACAAAAACAACTTCAACAACATACCTCTTCCCACCCACCATGCTAAGACTTTAACCCCAAACTATCAACATTAAAGTATCATGAAGAAGACCGTCTCCTGGTCTCTTGTTAAATTTCATCAGTGGAAACGGAAGATTCTAACATTCCGAGTTAGATCTTATGAACCAATAATTACGTAATTCTAAGAACTACATCACGTGTCAGGAACCGTACCACGATTTTTCAAGTAAGAGCCAATTTCATAATCTTTAAATGGCAAAGAGAAGCCGCTGTTTTATAAGTTTAAAACAAGGTGTAGAAAGTTCGGAGATGAAATTCTTCCATTTTTATCCCCCCCAAAAGAATAAATTCACAGCTCTGACAATTTTTCTTGGTGTCATCTGGGTGGATCTTCATGTCCTGTAACCATGGTAACTGCGGAATGGTTGTGTCACTCTGTGAGGTGTAAGGCATCAAGGGGTCAGGCAGGAAGACAAGATATCAGACATCGAGGCTCAGATTCATCACTCACAGTTTAGTTTAGGTGGAAATACATTGTTCTATCTGATTTGAGAAGCAGTCCAAAATCTATGTGACTGGATTAACTGAGTACATGCTTAGCCATTTGCCCCCACAGCTCTTATTACCCAGGTACCCAACCCCCTTTACCCGACCTCACCCGGGTACCCACCCCCTTTACCCGACCTTACCCAGGTACCCGACCCCCTTTACCCGACCTTACCCAGGTACCCACCCCCTTTACCCGACCTTACCCAGGTACCCCACCCCTTTTACCCGACGTTACCTAGGTACCCGACCACCTTTACCTGACCTCAGCCAGGTACTCAACCCCCTTTACCCGACCTCAGCCAGGTACCCGACCCCCTATTACCTGACCTTACCCAGGTACCCCACCCCCTATTACCTGACCTTACCCAGGTACCCGACCCCCTTTTAACCGATCGTACCCAGGTACCTGACCCCTATTACCTGACCTTACCCAGGTACCCGACCCCCTTTTAACCGATCGTACCCAGGTACCCGACCCCCTATTACCTGACCTTACCCAGGTACCCGACCCCCTATTACCTGACCTTACCCAGGTACCCGACCCCCTTTTATCCGACCTCACCCAGGTACCCGACCCCCTTTTAACCGGCTGTACCCAGGTACCCGCTGTAGGTCTTAAGATTGGGTACAAAATTACTGATTGTGAATTGTTTAAGTAAGGATAAGAATTTATGGATGAACAACTTCTTTATTTCCAATTAAGAGCGACGTTTTGGTGTAGGTTCTAACACCGTTGTCAAGCAAGTGATCACTTGATAACGGTGTTAGAACCTACGCCGAAACGTCGCTCTTAATTGTAATAAAGAAGTTGTTCATCCATAAATTCTTATCCTTACTTAGTACTCCAACTTCTAAATGCCTATCAAAGAAGTGAATTGTTTAACCAGCGCCCTGGGAAAAACAATTTAGGATCATAAACCAATCTCATCATGCAAACATATAAGTCAGAAGGAATGCATGCATAGTCAGAAGAAATGCGACCTTTAGAGACTTGTAACGTAACAAAGGAGTTTATTGTTATTGTATTTGAACAATATATCATGTGACTAACCCCGGTCCGGGAGTCCTGTGGGTACCCGGGTCTTTCTCAGGACCCACCCACCCCAGTCCCAATGACAATTTCTAAAAATACATGTCTTCCTGTGCATGTCATTTTTAACGTGTGAATGAATTTTTATTCAGGGTAATCAATTTTGTCTGGTACTTATTTTGCTTTTAATATCATTCTGGACTGAATATTGCCTAGATATACATGGAAGACTTATCTTTCATTGGCTAAACTATGTTGCAACATTCACTTACATTGATTGGATTAGGTTTCTATACAACTGCCTACTGAGGAAAAATATAATCTGATGACATGTGTCACTTTGAAAAGAGTGAGTGAGTGAGTGAGTTGGCTTTAACGCTGCTTTTAACAGTATTCCAGTTATATCGCAACGTGTCAGCTTATTGTGGGAGCAAAGCCCGTAGTGATGCAGGTCTCAGATGTTTACCACTTCGGTGAAACCCACGAGGACGGGTATGGTGTTGACAAACCTAGAAACATAATCGGGGCGAACCAGGATTCAAACCCACAATCAAAGGTTTCTGGCACTTCCAAGGGATGCAACTCTGCACAGTGAATCGCAGCGCCTTAGACAACTGGGCCACCCGTGCCCCCACTTTGAAAAGAAGCTTCTGATAATATACTATTTGTTTTCATAGCTGTTTTATCATCATCATCATGATTGACAATGTTTGCTACTTGTGTGTGTGTGAGATGAGAGTATCAGTACACGGTTCTGTAAACGTAGTGCTTAATTCTATCTGGTAGGTTTTGACATTTTCCAGAAGAGATAAACAGTGTATTTCCAGCTAATATTTAACGTTTAACAGCAAGGGCATACATACAGGTCAACATTAATGTCTTCAACTTAATTAAAATAAAAGAATCATTGAAAAACAAACATAACCATTCAAGAGTCTGAACTTTGATTGGAGTTTCTTCACCACAAGAGTACACACAGGGGAGATAACTCTGGATCAGAGCCTGGTACAGGCACTGGGAGTCCTCAATTCTTTGAGTATGCCTTAGTGTGATTTTTGCCCTATTTACCTATATGTCATACAGAGCAGAACTATGGCTTTCAAGTTCTTCTGCAATATAAGAAGCTGCTATGGTATATATTGGCACAGTCATACATCGACTCCAGTCCTTTCGTCTGCGACATAGTCATCACATCCTTGTTGCAGTCATCACATCCCTGTTGCAGTTCCTCGAACGCCTCTTCCGTACCAGGCATGATTCCTTGTCTCTTGTAACCCCTGACATGGCCCTGAACAGAGTCATTGTATTGTCTGACACCATCACCCCATGCTAGACTGCTGTAGACCAAGTCACGATGATGCCCTGTGTCACGACTTGTGGCTCAGATGGTTGGGGGCGTCAGCAAACATGTACTTGAGCTTGAACGCCTCTGCTAGTACCTCCCCGATCTCCTTGTTTCCCCAGTGGTGAGTTGGAAGGTTCTGTAGTAGCATCAGGATACCCTGCGGAGAGGAACACGAGTGAGTGAGTGAGTGAGTGAGTGAGTGAGTTGGGATTAGCGCTGCTTTTAATATTTTTCCAGTTATAAATAAATTAGTATGGTTTTTATGCCGCTTTTAGCAATATTCACGCAATATCACAGCTGGGGACACCAGAAATGGGCTTCTAACATTGTACCCATGTGGGAAATCAAACCCGGGTCTTCGGCGTGACGAGCGAATGCTTTAACCACTAGGCTACCCACCACCCCTAGTTATAGATTAACTCTAGTAATAAGAAAGAATCGGGGTCCTTAACTTGCTTTGAGTAGTATTATTTCTTGTTGATATTTGTAGTTTTATTTCCGAATACAGCTTCTTTCATTAGTCCTCCCTCATCCATAAAATTTCTACTTTTACTTGTGTCATTCACATAAACCAACCACCAAACAAGTGGAAAGCCTTCTCAAAATGCAACTCGGATGCGGTGCTTCCATGCAGTACTACCTGGAAATCTCTCTCCCTTAAGATGTCATGTGTAAATCTATGTAGAAATGATGCGCACACATACAGATGAAAGTCTGCAAAGCCATTCACTTCCGACTGAAAAACACAAAACAATATAGATATAGATCCAGGGATGTTATTCACAAAGTACACTGTATCAAGACATGTATCAAATACGTAACACCATGGAAACGCAATGCAAATTACAAATTGATTTTAAAGAAAATATTATGACTATATTCTTTCTATGACAAATTGCTTTATGAACAGATTTCAGCCATGAGCCAGGGGGTAGGGCTAACATTGGCCATGTGACAAGCTGGTAACCACAGAGAGAAGGACAAAACAAGAAAACAGTGTTATCAATATCCCCACCATGGCCAGGGGGCTGGCATCTTCCCGAGGCAAGAGATTTAACTGACTATAAAAGTTCAGTTTCCACCCTTGCCAAACTAGGCTGATATTATTGAGTTACATTTTGGCTGGGCTAACGAGTCTATGCATAGTCCAATCAAAATCTCGCAACGAAATCGAAATCCGGTTCGTAAACTGTCGTGCAAATTTCGGTCGATTGCAGGATTTGCAAAGCATGTGCACCGCCAACTCGTTGTCAACAGATATTTTCCAAACCTTTTCATGTTTTTAATCAATGTGCTCGCGTGATTTGATGCTCTTCGTGATGTAAGACCCGTTTTATCACAATATAGATCTTGATTATCGATCAGATCGTAATGACTGGGCGCCCCCATTTTGTTTGAAACAAATGCAAGTGATGGAATCGGATTGGTCCATAGGAAATGCTCAGAAGAGACATAACTCCTAATAACCACTGGTGGCGCTATGATCGAGCCCAGGAATTCAAGTCTAGTTCGGCAAGGGTGGAAACTGGACTTTAAAAGTCAGTTAACTCTCTTGCCTCGGGAAGATGGCGGGCTGGCTGGTCCTTAATTCTGTGAATCTAAAATCCTTTTCAGTAAACAGAGTTACGTTCACTTAATCTTTGGAAATCTGAGCTACAAAGCAAACTGAGAGGTGTGGTATTTTTTGTAGTTTGTTTATTTGTTGCTTAACGCAGCACTCAGCAATATTCCAGCTATATGACAGTGGTCTGTAAATAATCAAGTCAGGACCAAACAATCCAGTGATTGACATCATGTGCATCGATCCACACAATTGGGATACGATGACATGCATCAAGCAAGTCATCAACCCATCCTATTAGTGGCCTCTTACGACAAGCATAGTTGCCTTTTACGGCAAGCATGGTATTTAATGACTGATATGAAGCTCTTCAACTCACCAAGTAGGTATCCCACAGTCTGATGGTACAGCGGAGAGGGATCTCTCTCATCAGGAGGTTGTTCATCCAGCGGAAGGAGAACTGTAGGTACTCCACGTTCTGCCCCTCCATGTGTTTGTGTAGGGGGGCTGCAGGGAGGAATGGAGGGAGTTTGGATCAGGGCTGAAAATGTGTTTAACATCTACCATGCTATAACTTAACATGGATACCCCACTCAGACACAGCATACCATCTCAGAGCCAGCCAGTCCTTGCCTTATCCTCTTGATGCTGAGTGAGTGAGTGAGTATGGTTTTACGCCGCTTTTAGCAATATTCCAGCAATATCACGGCGGGGGACACCAGAAATGGGCTTCACACATTGTACCCATGTCGGGAATCGAACCCGGGTCTTCAGCGTGACGAGCAAACGCTTTAACCACAAGGCTACCCCATTACCCCCTATTTGATTAGAAGAGATGGTATTTTGATATAAATTTCATAAATATTCAAAGACAAAACCTCTGCAACTCCCGTCTCAATTCTTGAAAACACATCCTCACTGCAATTGCAGTCCACAACAGACAGCTTCCATTGCAGATCAAAGATCAACCACCAACATAAACTGACGATCCCAAATTCTATTCTCACATTATAAAAAACTTAAAAATAAGTGGGTTTTTTTCAGTAACCAACGGCGACCCAACGTCCTCAGCAACTGTACAGGATCCAGGCCAGAAGTACTGACTTGGAATCCTAATTGGTACACCCCAACATGAGCCTCCACAGACTCCACAGCCTCCTACCATCGATCCTGTTGATGAGCTCCCGGAGGGCGCCGACCTTCAGCTGGATGCCGGGCTGTGCGAATGTGTAGTTGTCCTGGATGCCGTCCAGCAGCTTGGACGTACACCAGAAGCTGTCAGCCTCGATCACATCCAGTGTGGACTTCGGCAGCTCTCGCAGATCACAGTTCTCGCTTTCCACATCTACAGCACAGATGGTGGGATTAGCAAGGATGGTTAGTTAGAGTTGGTTGGTTGGTTTGTTGTTTAACGCCGCACTCAGCAATATTCCAGCTATATGACAGCGGTCTGTAAATAATCGAGTCTGGACCAGACAATCCAGTGATTGATATCATGAGCATCGATCCTCATAATGTGGGATGGATGACATGCATCAACCAAGTCAGCGAGCCTGACCACCCGATCATGTTAGTCGCCACTTACCACAAGCATAGTCGCGTTTTACGGCAAGCATGGGTTGCTGAAGATCTATTCTACCCCGGATCTTCACGGGTCTGGTTAGTTAGATAAAAAGAAGAGTCCATTATTGTCATTCTTGAAAAAGAAACGTGTATGCATAATTGTCATTCTGATAAGCGTTCAGGGCTGATTGCAAGATGTTGTCAGCTTCTATACTTCTTTATACATATTATATTCTATACCTCTACCAACAACTTCACACTTTGGAATAAGGGATGTAAGCAGAACCATGTTTCAACTAATGGTCAAGTCAGGGGTGAGTGAGTGAGTGAGTTGGGTTTTCGCCTTTTATATTCCAATTACATCACAGCAGGGGACACCAGAAAATGGTTCCATACATCGTTCCGACATGTGAAAATCAAATCCAGGCGAAGTTTTAACCGCTAGGCTACCCATTGCCCTGGTCAAGTCAGGAAGCTGTGTTTCATAAGATATCACTATTAAAAGTTGCTGTATGCTGCAATCAAGGACACTGTCAGTAATATTCCAGCAATATGTCACAGTGGGTGGTAAAAAATGAAAAGACTGCATCAAACATCCAGGGATTGATAGCATGATAAAACATCATGATCAATGGCTTAACACCTGATTCTAATGTGTGTCGCCTCTTACAACCAGGTACAAGGGCTGTGTGTGATATAGTCATATGCCTGCTAGATCATGGCTAGCAAGATTTTGGTCAGGATATAATTTGAAATGTCCCTAAACCAACCAGGTACTGTAATTGTAATGGAGATATCTTTCATGCACACATCTTATTTGATGAAATTAAAAAAGCTCCCATTCTGTCATATCAGCCATCAAAAATACAAAAAATAAACTAACATGATTATTAATCATACAATTAGTTGCGAGATCAGAGCAGCCTGCCATCATAATATCTGACTCATGATTCGCAATTTGGGTTTACATTATGGAGAAAGAAACTGTCGCATATTTAAGCTTGTGAGTGAGTAAGTATGGTTTTACGCCGCTTTTAGCAATATTCCAGCAATATCACGGCGGGGGACACCACAAATGGGCTTCACACATTGTACCCATGTCGGGAATCGAACCCGGGTCTTCGGCGTGAAGAACGAACGCTTTAACCACTAGGCTACCCGACCGCCCCTTTAAGCTTGTGAAATTTGAAACTGGCTAGTAACTTTCTAGTGAACCTGCACAGCAATATTTTGAGACTATTTCTCCCACTGCCTTGTGGGCCTGTCCCAGACGAAGCCACTCACCATTGTCTATATACTCGGACAGAAACACTACAAAGAAGGGTGTGACTAAGTCGTTGATTCCTTGGACGTAGCCACTTGCAGGATGCCGTATTGCCCATATGTACAAAATTCTTTCAAATATCTGAAACAAAATATAATTATTCAGACACCTCTTTTCAAATAGAAATTACACAGAATCATTTGTGAAATTTAAAACAAAAATTTCATGATAACATGAACGGATACTTTAATTAACTGTTGCACCACAGACAATATGTTCTATACTACTCAAAAGAAGTTAAGAATCATCCGATTCTTTCATATTGGTAATGTTAATCTGTCATGGCATGAGAGATTAACTATTGTAATATGGAAGAATCAGGTGATCCTTAACTTCTTTTGAGAAGTATGCAACGGCCTCATATATATATTCTGGACTATTGCAAATAAAATGTCCTAAATCATCAACCTTTACAGGAAATATCCTGGCATATGGAAAATATTTTAGAATGAGTGAGTGAGTCGGGTTTAACACTGCTTTGAACAGTATTTCAGTTATATCACAGGGTGTCAACTGATGTACGAGGAAAGTCCGAAATGATGCAGGTCTTTCCGATTTCATGAACGACAAGAGCATGGATATGGTGCTGACAAACCAACAAAACATAATCGCGGCAAACCTGGACCAGTGACCATAGGTTTCTGCCACGCCCAAGGTATACGCTCTCCACAGCAAATTGTGGCAACTTAAACGACTGGGAAACCCGTGCCTCCAGTTTAGACAAAAACATACAGAACGTTCTTCCAATTATAAAAATATATCATGAAACATAAAACTAGATCCATTATACACATGCTGCAAATAATACAGAGTGAGAAGGTAGATCAAAAGAGCAAAGCACAATCAGAAATGTAATGTTGTAAGAAAACCATTCCTATGTCTATGAATGGTAGGCTTGTTTTGAATTGAGGTCAGGGTAAAAATAGAACTATTGTGTAACTATGTGCTCGTGTGAGATTGTCCAAGAATAATGGTCCAAAATTCAAATAAACAGAAATATATCATTGAATGCAAAGCAAATAAATTAAACCCCATTATAGTACGGGGAATTTTACGAGAAGTGGGTAAATTGTTCTGCGTCTAACTATGAAGATTTTATTGTACACCCTTAAGAAAATACTTTCCCTGCTTTCAGGCTGCATTTGTACCAAATACACAAGGCTGCATGTTTCTGCAGGCATCAAAGTGACTAGGTACCGTATTCGACTTAATAAGCGCCCCGCTCTAACAAGCACCCACAGCGATATTTGCTAATATATTGGCTAGTGAACAATCCCAATTAGCACCCCTTCCGATTGATCAATGTACACAAGACTTATTTATTTAAGAATTGAACATCAGTTTGGATGGGTTCATTGAAGTGTGAACGATTTAAAAGCGCTGGTTAAAATTTGTGAACCTCCGAGCTTGCGAGGTGGATGTCAGTGACACTTGACACTGAGTAAGAATTTTCAGTTCGCTATACACATCACTAATTAGTGATAGATGATGGGCTTTGGTGATCAGATACGAGTTCACTGTATCCGTTAGTTCGCTGTAGAGAGTTTGTTATGTACGTAAATTTTATATGATATTATATAGGAGCTAAAACGTTGATTTTCTAACAGTTCGTTGCATCCGTTTGTACGCTCTATCCATGTTCGTTATATCTGTGTTCTACTGTATAAGAATTGATAACATTGTCTCTTCGTATATTATGTTCATTAGAAGTGAGTGATAAAACAATCTTAAGACATCCTTTTCTGACAGGTGGCCAATGGTAGATACTCTTGTTCCAGTTCCTTGCCACTTAACGAAAGTCATCAGTGTAAGATTCTAAAGTAACTACCTTCTTATCTTTCAGTGACAGCCGACATTCTCACGATGCTAAACCACATAACCAAGGCAAAAACAAAGACATAAGCATGATATTGCAAGTATCAGAATGTTATGAAGAAAGAAGCTAGGGAGAAAAAAGATTAACTACAGGCTACAATTTCTCCTGAGAGGCTGTGCTGAGCAAACGAGAAGCTATCGACAACACCAATCTCATTAATACCAGATCTTAGTTCTCGCTACCGCTAAATATAGATCTGAGGACATCCCATTACAGGTCACGTCAGATCGACCTTGCGCAAACTTTGACCGACCAATGGAATGACCAATCAGAAGGAAGCTTTCTCGTGCTTTACGGCACTAAATTTCAAATTGGCGACTACGCTTCGAAACATATTTTGACAAATTCTCAATTACAAATTTGAAACCTAAACAAAAGAACATTCTGGAATGGCTAATAGATGGTCTAGATTGTATGTATTCAGTCGTTAAACCCGTAACTATCTTTCGGAATACCCCGAGTTAAAGTTTTCGAAATTGCATGATTAGAAATCACATTCCAACTGTCACTTCCATAATTTGGTAAGCGACACTCTGATTGGTCGGATGAAAGGTCGTTCTGACATGACCCCTAATGGGATGTCTTCAGATCTTTGTTTGGCGGTAGCGAGAACAAAGGTCTGATTTTAATGAGATTGTCGACAACACTGACACCAGGTGCACTCAAGGTGATTGACAGATATGTACAACAGAACACACAGGAAGTAATCACACAAGACACGTGGTGCAAATAATATTGCATGTGAACTGACACTTGAACTGGACGTTAAAGCACTTCTATCTTTTAGTCAATCAAATTTGACAATAGACAAAATTATCACATACAAACTGTATTCCTAATTTAATGTCAAGCAAATTTTGCTATGATGTTACACCAAGTGAATAGAACCAGGATCATGTGCTTGTTAAGCCAACACATTAACAACAGTGCTACCGTGTTTGACAAAGTCATTATCATGGACTCAATATCAATGAAGCCAGATCCTAGCGCTCGCTACTGCAACACGAAGACGAGGACATCCCATACATTCATGTCAGAACCTATCCCTGACTGGCCAATGAAATGACTAAGTCGCATTAGCCAATCAGAAAGCAGTTTTCTCAAAGTTTTACAGCAATAGTTTCAAAATGGCAACTTCTATGCAGATTACACTTTGAAAATTATTTTGACAAAGTTCTAAAATCAAAATTTGAAAAACAGAATAGATCATTCTGTAATGTCTAATAGATGGCCGAAATGGTATGGCAGTACTTCCCATCTAGTCCTGCACCATGACCGTGGAATATATTTATTTTATGGAGAAAAAAAATAATCTAGAAATGCATACAAAAGCAAGTCTAGCCAGCCCTAGCTAGCTGTATTCCACATATGAAATCAGCATAGGGAATTTTTTTGATTTTTTTAGAGTCAAGGAGCATATTGTGTAATATAAGATTTCAGAGACTAAATGTTAGTCTACTTCCCATCATGCAATGAGCAATGGAAAATATCTTCCGTTTCAAATATTTATCCCCGTGAGCATTGAATCAGTTGTACAGCCAATAGCTTGCATTTGAAATGCCCCGTTTTAACCTTTTCAAGGTTGCATGATTGAAAAACACATTCGAGTTTCACTTTCACGATCTTGTATGCGAATCTCTGATTTCTCAAATGAAAGGTCGTTCCGAAGTGACCTGTCAGTTCTTTGTGTAGGGGAAGTGAGCACTAAGTTCTGATCATGATGAGACTGTTATGAATTCAACAAACATGTACGCCCTAAAATCTTACGACATAAGTTCTTCGAATCTATCCTCCTAACACTAGTTTAAACACAGGTCACTGTTACAAGAGTAACTCTCTACAATTAAGTGGCAGTGAAACGTACTCCTCTAGACGAGGCATGGCTGATGGGTGTGTCGTAATGTACTCACTTCTTGTATGACCTTATGTTGCATCAAGTGTGCAATTGTAGTCATGCGAGGAATATCTTTTAGAATCTGCAACACAATGAGTCGGTTCTACCGTACAGCAAATCCGTTACCATAGTAACCATACACAACATTAGCAAGGACAAGAGTGTAAAAGGAACAAGTTGCAGACATTACTGGCACTGACTTCAAACCAGTTGTCAATCATGAATCATGAATTTGATTCTAGTGAAACTGTTCATGCCAAATGGTTTAAATGCAGACAATGATACATACCGGTACTCAAACTGTCACTTTTTGAAAAAAATAAATTTAAATTTAAATTAAAAATTAAAATTAAGTTAAAATTAAAATTAAAATTAAAATTAAAATTCTGCAAGGCAATCTTGTGTTTTTGCAAGATGCAAGCAATGGTGAAATATCTGTTTTTCCCATTCGAGAGACAAAGTGAACTTCTTGAAGAACAAGTTTCACAGCTTTTCGTTTACCTATTGTACACCGGGTGACTGTTGATACAGGCAAATACAGACTGTCAAAGCATGTTCCCTTTACACTCTCCACATACAAGAACAAAAAACAAGATCAGAATACCTGCTACAGAGTCCTTCATAACAAACACTCAAGCTGACAAATTTCATAAACACCAGGGCCAACATTCTACCCCAGTTTTACTTTCATTCTATGATTTGACATATGTGTGAAGGATGGTGTAGCAGGTCGCCCGATCTCCCCGGGGCCTGTCAGTCAGCGGTCTTCCAACTGGGTCTACTCACTTCTTGTACTAGGATTTGTTGGAATATAGGAATAAGGGGGTTCATTCGGGGGATGTCTATATGAATCTGAAACATAGTGGTCAGTGAATGTTTGGCAATTAACAAAATTACTTTGAAAAAAAACCCATTTCACCTTTGAAAGGGAATGAATTTCTTGTCCAGAATCCACATTCTATGGGACATTGATGGTTAATACTGACCCATGTAATCCAACTGAGTGGGAGTCAACCCAGAATCGTACGAGAATCTGTACCATACCAAGAAAATGTGTTATCCCAAACGTAACATTTGTTATATTTGACCTCTTTCTAAATAGCATTGTGTGTTCATGGCCTTTGGCCATGGAAGCCATGCCAATTTACACTTTTCAGAGGGGTACACAAAGTATGTGATCTAGACTACCAGTTGTTACACTTTCATTTTGCGGAAGCCTCGTTGGCTGAGTGGGTTAGATCGCTGACTTTGTGTGCTGGCGATTAGGTGCCTCACTCTGGCTGTGTGGGTTCGAATCCCAGGCGGGACTCAACCCCAAAAAGTACTAGAATCTGTACTTTACTAAGAAAGTGTCATCCCAAATATAACATGTGTCACATGAGGGAGTGTGACACAACATCCCGGGCAGCACTATTTCAGCTACATTATTGCTGTATGTACATCATGGAGACTGGGCCAGGGAATGCCAGTGTCTGAGAAGACTTCACTCCATCCTGTCACGACGACACAATATGCCAGGTCACACAATGTTCAAGTCTCATCTGCCTGCACTAACGACAAGCATTGGCTACCAGGGACCTCTTTTCACCCCAGAAACCCCCAAGCAGAAATACTGCTGCATCGGTAAATCAATCATAAAAGGGTTTTACAAAATAGTTCAAGTATTGTAGACAGAATTGCACATTTAATACATGTAATATGCTACACAAACTTTTTGACTTAACGATGCGCGAGCGTCAAGCAATAATTCTTCCTTTGCTTCTCAAAATATGACATTATCTTTAACTTTAGGCTGATTACAAACTGTCAAATTCATATGAAATATGTCCTAACAAAAATTACGAGACAAATCAATTAATATTTCTGTTTCAAAATCACGCTGCTTCATGAAAATTGGTATATATGAATATTTGTCATTCCTTAGCAACGGACAAATAACTGACTACGTATCCTGTAGTACTTGTTTCCTACCTGTCTAAAAGTATCTTGGTGCATATCATGGTGTCTAGTTTCATAATACTGGTCGATGAAGCCAAAGTACTCCTTCCTCTTTCTCTCCAGAGTGGCCTGCCTGCGATCTGCACACGGTGGCAGGTAACCCTGAAATAACATACATATGTACCTTGACTAGAGCTGCGTATCACCTGGTATCTTGCGATACAATACGTATCACAATACAGACTGAGGATACCACTGGTACCTTGCGATGCAATACGTATCACAATACAGACTGAGGATACCACTGGTACCTTGCGATACAATACGTATCACAATACAGACTGAGGATACCACTGGTACCTTGCAATGCAATACGTATCACAATACAGACTGAGGATACCACTGGTACCTTGCGATGCAATACGTATCACAATACAGACTGAGGATACAACTGGTACCTTGCAATGCAATACGTATCACAATACAGACTGAGGATACAACTGGTATCTTGCGATACAATACGTATCACAATACAGACTGAGGATACCACTGGTACCTTGCGATGCAATACGTATCACAATACAGACTGAGGATACCACTGGTACCTTGCGATGCAATACGTATCACAATACAGACTGAGGATACCACTGGTATCAAAATACATCTACAAATAGGACAAAATGATGAAATCAAGGAAATGTAACTCTGAAACACCTGGATTCATACATTTACTTATTATTATCTCCAAAAAGAAGAAGAACAAAACAGTTTTAATTGAAGGTGAGGTGAGGTGAAATTGGGTTTAACGTCACGTCCAAGATTATTGCACTTATTTAGCGGTGTGTGTGTGTGTGTGTGTGTGTGTGTGTGTGTGTGTGTGTGTGTGTGTGTGTGTGTGTGTGTGTGTGTGTGTGCGTGCGTGTGTGTGTGTGTGTGTGTGCGTGTGCATGTGCGTGCATGTGCGTGTGTGGCTGCTTGTACTAGTCGGGACTGATGCCGATTTATAGTGCTAGCACACTGAGATACCATGCCGCAGTTTAACATGAATACCCCACTCAGACACAGTATACTGACTCCGAGCCAACCAGTCCTTGTTTTAGCCCCTTAATGCCGAGTGCCAGACAGGGTAACAACAAGTACCATCTTTTAACGTCTTTTGGTATGACGCGGCCGGGGATCGAACCCCGGGCGGACGTTCTACCACTAGACCACGGAGGCGGTAATTTTAAATGAAGTGATGGTTATTAAATGTAATAGTTTAATAGCAGGCACATCCTGGTATCTTAAACTTAAGCAAAGAACTAAGCACTAAGAAGCTCTGTGAATATGACTTAAGTTTTATGTTGGTTGTTAGGGAAACAAAGATTTCTTTGTGGATTTAAGAATTCTTAAGGCTCCAGAAAATTCAAAGAAGCTTTGTCACTACCGGTACAGGTTCTATTTCTCGACCTTCATTGTTCGCCAAGTGAGACATTTGTGTGATGCTAACGTTACTTGTGGGTCATTTTTGTGCTTCAAAAACCTGTATATCAGGGTCATTCGCAGCAGCATATTAATTATAATTATATAAAATAAACCTACATACAAATTTTGTTAGTAGGTTTGATGCCTCAATCAATAACTTTTGCAGCAAAGGTCTGTCTTTTCTGATAATTTTCAAGCTGTTTGAAGGACAATATAGAAACATTGCTAAGTGATGAACATAAAGTCTCAATGGAGCCAAATGTGGACAAATCTTACTGCCAGTATTTTCCATGTTGTGGGTCGCACAGCTTTGGGTATACCAGACCAGCTGGCTTTCCGTAAGTCATCTGAAAAGACAGCAAGACACTGTACCGGATCTCTTCTGTATTACACTGTATATATCTGACAGGGACGTATCAAGGCCATTCTTCCTGCCAGAGGCTCTCTGTTTAGGACCCTAGAGTCAGTGAGTGAGTTGGATTTAACGCCGCTTTTAACAGTATTCCAGTTATATCACGGCGTATCAGCTTAATGTGTGAGGAAAGCCCGAAGTAATGCAGGTCTCAGACGTTTACCACTTCGGTGAAACCCATGAGCACGGGTATGGTGCTGACAAACCTAGAAACATAATCAGGGCGAACCGGGATTCGAACCCACAATCATAGGTTTCTGGCGTGCCCAAGGGACGCAACTCTGCACAGCGAATTGCGGATTTTAGACGACTGGGCCACCCGTGCCCCCTTAGGACCCTAGACAAATCCCTGTCTGACCATCATCACTATAACTTACAGGAAAAGAATTTATGGATGTCAACTTCTTTATGAGGAACACAACGTGTCCATCGCTTGCAACCATCAGCGCTAATTTACTGTTAAGTGTTGGCTTCCATTTGTCCATTGCTGATCACCTATCATCCCCAATTATCTGTTGGCTTCCCTTTTTAAGTTTCCACCTTTGTTATCCTATTACTTTTGTTGTTCTTACATGTACATATATATGTTCTCTGCCTCATAGCATTCATTCACCTGGTGAAGGAGTAAGCATATACTCCGAAACGTTGTGTTCCTCATAATAAAGAAGTGGACATCCATAAATTCTCTTCCTTATGTGTATCACTTCTAAATGCCTTTCAAAGACTTGATGATCACTATATATCATAAGATCCACACTATGTTTTACAAAGGTGGGATTCAGCAACATCAAGACGAAGGAAATACATATTACTGATGTGGATGACTAAAACTAAGTTGAAGTATGTGGTCAGTAAATATTAATTGAAGCAATCTCATTTAAGTCAGATCTTAAATCTCGCTACCGCTAAACAAAGATCTGAGGACATCCCATTGCGGGTCACATCAGACCGACCCTGCGCGCACCTTGACCGACCAATGGAATGACCAATCAGAAGGCAGCTTTCTCGTGCTTTACGGCTCTAATTTCAAATTGGCGACTATGCTTCAAAACATATTTTGACAAATTCTTGATTACAAATTTGAAACCTAAACAAAAGAACATTCTGGAATGGCTAATAGATGATCTAGATTGTATGGATTCAATCGTTAAACCTTAACTATCGTTCGGAATACCCCGTGTTAAAGTTTTTGAGGTTGTATGATTAGAAATCACATTCCGACTCTCACTTTCATGATCTGGTAAGCGATGCTCTGATTGGTCGGATGAAAGGTCGTTCTGACGTGACCCCTAATGGGATGTCTTCAGATCTTTGTTTAGCGGTAGCAAGGACTAAGGTCTGATATTAATGAGATTGTAATTGAAGTAACTATGACATCGCCTACAATGCTGCCGTCATGTCAGTCTGTATTGCTTTGAACAAGCTCAGCTGTTGGCCATGTGCAAACACAAAACATTAGAACATGATGGTGTACAAGGGCAGACAACTCCATTACAACACTAACAATTCAGGTGTTTCATGGGTGGGTGGTTTGTTGTTTAACGCCGTAATCAGCAATATTCCAGCTATATGACGGCGGTCTGTAAATAATCGAGTCTGGACCAGACAATCCAATGATTAATATCATGAGCATCGATCCACGCAATTGGGATCGATGACATGCATCAACCAAGTCAGCGAGCCTGACAACCCGATCCCGTTAGTCGCCTTTTACGACAAGCATAGTCACCTTTCACGACAAGCATGGGTTGCTGAAGACCTATTCTACCCCGGAATCTTCACGGGTCCAGGTGTTTCATGAATAGAGAAAGACAGAAGAAACAAGAAAACAGTGTTATCACTATCCCCGCCATGGGGCACATTAGAATTGTGTTTGTTCATGACGTAGTGAGTATAAACTATTCAAAAAGTCATATAAAGCCTTAAGAAGAGACAGGCACTAGGGTCACTATAGGTCATCAGAAAAAATGAGTAAATGTGAAATTAAAACACACAAAAAGGCCCCTACTCTGGAAAAAATAATTTAAGGCACAAATTCTCGAACTCAGTCTAGGTAAGTATCTTTTAGATAAGCTAATTTCAGTAGTTTCTGAGAGAACTTGTACCCATTACAGACACTACGCACCAAGTTAAGAACATGGATCAAGGGCTGTGACTGTGTATACTCAAAATCGACAAAATGTCGCAAGGGAGGTAACTCTGGGAAAAAATAATTTACTGCACCTTGTCTTGACAAGTATCATAGATAAGCATGCAAACTTTCATTCATGTAATTTCAGCAGTTTCTGAGAAAACTTGTCGGCATTTCACGCAGTATGCACTGAGTTGAAAAACACGGAGCAAGGGCCATAACTCTGTAAAAAATGAATTCACAACACTTATTTTCAAACTCGTTTAAGATCATGACAAGTAATATCAGTGAGTAAAATTTCATTTCTCTTACTTAAGTTTTGAGAAAATTTGTTCCCTTTGAGAAGTGGACGGACGGAAGGACGAACTCCGTTCCCATATCCCTGCCCCACTCTCATCACGATATGGCTGAAATATTGCCGATGTGACGTTAAATTTTAACTCACTCACTCACTCACTCCCTGCCCCACTTTGTGGCAGGGGATGATAAGCGTCACCTACCCAGATCTATGTTTGGCTCTGCCAGCAGGGACTTAAACTTTTCCAGCTTTGCTGCCTCTGCATCTGATGTAGTAGGTCGGTTGTACCTGATGGGGGTCTGTTTCGGGGGCTGCCAGCTGTTGTTGAGTCTCACCCCCACCCCGGGGCCTCCATGGGACCCTCCACTCATGTTACTGCCAGGGTCTGCAACAGTGAGAAGGACTCAATGACCTTGTCAGTGATGAGTGAAAACAGGGTTTGATTGGTTGGTTGGTTGGTTTGTTGTTTAATGCCGCACTCAGCAATATTCCAGCTATATGACGGCGGTCTGTAAATAATCGAGTCTGGACCAGACAATCCAGTGATTGATATCATGAGCATCGATCCACGCAATTGGGATCGATGACATGCATCAACCAAGTCGCCGTCGCCAAGTCCCGTTAGTCGCCTTTTACGAAAACAGGGTTTGAAATTAACATTAGTCTGCTGGTTCTCAGAGGAGTAAATTCAGGACAGACTTGTGACATTTTGATGTGAAGTACCACACCTATAAAATTATAGTCTTGTTCTTAGGCACTGCCCGAATTATCATTAATAATGCTGCATGTTTCGTTTTTATTTCCATTTAAATTTTTTTATATAAATTCTATTACTATCAAAGAATGCGATCAAATATAGAACACAGTTACTTCCCTTTACATGCACACTGCTTTACTGCACATCTTGTGTTACGGACATGGGGGAAATAGGAGGAGTTTGTATGCTTGTTCATGTAGGGAGCCACTTTTCCAAGTTGATGGAACACAAGTGTCTATATGGTTACCTACTAGTTTGAACAAGAAAAAAAATCAAAACACACCGCCTGCCCGCACTATATTTTCAAAAGTCATTGCCTGAGAACCAATTCTTTTATTTTTTAAGCCTTAGACCTTAGGCTTAAAAAAATAAAAGAATTGGTTCTCAGGCAATGACTTTTAACTAGTATGTAACTATATAAACAAGTATACAAACCGGCATTCGTTCTGGAGTTGTGCTGCTTGCTGTGGTTGACGAGCACCGCCCGAGCCGAGGACTGGACATCCTTTAAGGACATCTGGACACTGGCCATCTGAAGCAGGTCGTCGTCACCGTCATCCCACGCATCTGATGTCTGACTCTCAAAGTCTTGAAATGCATCACGCTTGTAATTCTTCAACTTATCTTCCTTTTTTGGAGAACCACTAAGAACAGAAAACATATTAAATGGTTTTTTTTTGCAATACATATTATACATAAGAATGCTTAATATTCCACCTATATACCAGCGGCCTGGTTTGTTGTTTAACGCCGCACTCAGCAATATTCCAGCTATATGACGGCGGTCTGTAAATAATCGAGTCTGGACCAGACAATCCAGTGATTAATATCATGAACATCGATCCACGCAATTTCGATCGATGACATGCATCAACCAAGTCAGCGAGCCTGACCACTCGATCCCGTTAGTTGCCTTTTACGACAAGCATAGTCGCCTTTTACGGCAAGTATGGGTTGCTGAAGACCTATTCTACCCCGGAATCTTCTCGGGTCTTGTAAATAATCAACGAGACAATCAATCTACTGACTGATATTATGAGGAAGACAAAATAAACCAAGTCTGACCACCTGATCCATTAATATTGCCTCTTACAACCAGCGCAGGAATATATTGGTTTCATGAACCATGTTTGTTTGTTTGCTTGTTTGTTGTTTAACGCTGCACTCGGCAATATTCCAGCTACATTGTATATGCTGCAGTTTGTAAATAATCGCGTCTAGACCAGACAATCTAGTGATTGACATCATGAGCATCAACGCAATTGGGATACGGTGACAAGCATCAACCAAGTCAACCTGACCACCCGATCCCGTTAGTCGCCTCTTACGACAAGCATGGGTTGCTGAAGATCTATTCTGACCCAGATCTTCACAGGTTTCATGAACAATTAGTGAGTGAGTTTTGTTTTACGCCGCTTTTAGCAATATTCCTACAATATCAAGGTGGAGGACACCAGAAATGGGCTTCACACATTGTACCCATGTCAGGAATCGAATCCTGGTCTTCGCGAACGTTTTATCCACTAGGCTACCCGACCGCCCATCATGAACAATGAGGTGCTTTACATGGTTCAACACAACCACCAAGTCCACTACTGAAATGTTGCCAGAACAAATACTCATGGCAATTTTTCACAGAATTTATTATAAGTATCAATCACATGAACAGCAAATCCAAATTGAACAGTGGTATATTTCTTCATTCACTCATCTTTTTCAAGAAAGACAACTCTGCAATCCAACTGATCCCATTCAGGTTTAAGTTAAGGCAACAGTGAGTGAGTGAGTTGGGTTAAACGCCGCTTTTAACAGTATTCCAGTTATATCACGACATGTCAGCTTAATGTGGGAGGAAAGCCCTAAGTAATGCAGGTCTCAGACGTTTACCACTTCGGTGAAACCCACGAGCACGGGTATGGTGCTGACAAACCTACAAACATAATCGGGGCGAACCGGGATTCGAACCCACAATCAAAGGTTTCTGGCGTGCCTAAGGGACGCAATTCTGCACAGCGAATCGCAACGCCTTTGACGACTGGGCCACCCGTGCCCCCGTTAACATGGTTAAGGCAACAGACTTGTGCCAGTGATAAAAATAATGGCTGAGGGCCGTTCTAACCCACAATCCCCACAGGGTGACGTCAAAGCAGTGACCCTCACCTTGCAAGCTTCTGCTGCATGGGCGGATGCTGTGCTCCATATACAGGTTTGATGCTGAAAACAAAGAGAAAAACATTTACAATACAAAATATGTCAAGGTGTTCATAATCATATTGTATATGAGAGCATTATATCTCAATCTGTTTAGAAGTGAGGTGAGGTGAAATTGGGTTTAACGTCGCGTCCAAGATTATTGCACTTATATAGCGACGTGCATGCACGTGTGTGTGTGTGTGTGTGTGTGGCTGCTTGTACTAGTCCGGACTGATGTCGATTTATAGTGCTAGCACACTGAGATACCATGCCGCAGTTTAATATGAATACCCCACTCAGACACAGTATACTGACTCCGAGCCAACCAGTCCTTGTTTTAGCCTCTTAATGCCGAGTGCCAGACAGGGTAACAACAAGTACCATCTTTTAACATCCTTTGGTATGACGCGACCGTGGATCGAACCCCGTACCTCTCCAGGCGGACGCTCTACCACTAGGCCACGGAGGCGGTCTTAATCTGTTTAGAACATCATCAGGAGACAGATGCCTCGATGCACAAACGTCCCGCCAGTCACGACCTTGGGCTGATTGGGGTCCCGCGGATTGGGGCCTCTCTCAGCAGTGGATGATTTTATGTACCGCTTTGATTATTTTTGCAGAGGTCTCACGTGATAGCAGCTCCATGGTGACTGAATTAATTAGTGTCAAGCACTTAACTGAGTAATACGGACCACACCCGTCTCGCGTACACATTTACGTCTGCAACTGATCATTATCCAAGCATATACTTGGTAATATACAAGATTAGGACTGTCTGCCCCAAAATCGGTTTTGTCTTCTAGCTCAAACTTTTCTTATATATTTTTAGAAGGGTGTAGTATTGCTAACGTTTAGCTCAGTTTGGTAGGCTGAGATGTAATTAACAAGACTCAGATGTTGGACTTTGGAGGCGTTGCTTTAATTCAAACATAAATCCGAGAAAATGTAGACATCTTTTTAATGTTCAGCTTAATGTGGGAGGAACGCCTGAAGTGATGCAGGTCTCAGATGTTTACCACTTTGGTCAAAACCCATGAGCATGAATATCGTGTTGACAAACCTAGAAACATAAACGGGGCGATACAAGATTTGAACCCACAATCATAGGTTTCTGGCGTGCCCAAGGGACACAGCTCTGCACAGCGAATTGCGGCAGCTTAGACGACTGGGTCACCCATGCCCCCAGAAGCATCAGTAGGTCATGCTGACAATCAACAAATTTGTCTAAAATTAAGTACTGTACTTCCTTTTCCACAGACAATGAGTCATGCCTCATTCAGATTTAACACAAACAGAATTTTGTTTATGAAATACTTTACAAGTGCAGGCTGTATAACCTCAATACTTCGGTTGCCATGGTCGCTCTGTACACCAAACGGATGTCAGGATAACTATGTCAAACAACTGTAGGTTAAAAATGACATCACAAGATTATAACAATGTGATGAATTTAGATAGAAGCTCCATTCAAAATTTTCAGCCTATAATCAGCTGATAATATATCTATTAATTTAGTGTTGAGGGGGCCCCAAATTCAACTGATATAGCAGCAAGCCTAAAGAACCCCACACATTCATACAATTTGTTTGTTGCTTAACGTGACTGTCAACAACATTCCACCTACATCACTGCGGTCCATAGGGAGACACGAACTATGAGTTGCCTAGCATGGCTCACGCCAACACCAAGTCCACTACTGAATTGTTAAAAACATGTATTAGCATCTCATGAGTGAGTGAGTGAGTGAGTGAGTATGGTTTAACGCCGCTTTTAGCAATATCCCAGCAATATCATGGCAGGGGACACCAGAAATGGGCTTCACACATTCTACCCATGTCAGGAATCGAATCCGTGTCTTCGGCGTGACGAGTGAACGCTTTATCCACTAGGCTACCCGACCGCCCCTAGCATCTCATGAACAACAAATCCAAATTGAACAGTGATCGATTATATTTCTCCATTAACTCATTAATTTTTAAGAAAGACAACTATGCAATCAAATTATCACTATCATTGTTTTGCTTGGTGTTAAACGCCGCACTCATCTATTTTCCAGCAATATGACAGCAGTTTCTAGAATAATTGACTCAGGGCCAGACAATCAATGGACATTGTGAACAACTATCCACGCCCTGAGGGTACAATAAAACAACCACACCTGACCATCCGATCCATTTAGCCACCTCTCATGACCAGCAAAGGTTGCTAGGGACCTATTCTAACCCAGAATCTCCACAGGGGATAATCACTATCAGAGTTCATTCAAGGCAGCTTGCGCCAATAACTCTCTAACACTGTATGTGGCCCACACTGAAAACATGTCACGAAGCATGTCAATTTTGTCATAAGTCATAAAATGTCAACCCAATTGTTTACACATATCTTTTCAGTTGTTTACACATATCTTTTAAGTTGTTTACACATATCTTTTAAGTTGTTTACACATATCTTCTAAATTGTTTATACATATATTTTAAGTTGTTTACGCATCTTTTAAATTGTTAACACATATCTTTTAAGGTGTTTACACATATCTTTTAAGATGTTTACGCATCTTTTAAGTTGTTTACACATATCTTTTAAGGAGTTCATTCAAGGCAGCTTGCGCCAACAACAATCTCTAACACTGTATGTGGCCCACCGTGAAAACATGTCGCAAAGCATGTCAATTTTGTCATAAGTCATAAAATGTCAACCCAATTGTTTACACATATCTTTTCAGTTGTTAACACATATCTTTTCAGTTGTTTACACATATCTTTTAAGTTGTTTACACATATCTTTTAAGTTGTTTACACATATCTTTTATGTTGTTTACACATATCTTTTATGTTGTTTATACATATCTTTTATGTTGTTTACGCATCTTTTAAATTGTTAACACATATCTTTTAAGGTGTTTACACATATCTTTTAAGTTGTTTACGCATCTTTTAAATTGGAGTACAACGTTTCGGCGTACATGCTTACTCCTTCATCAGGTGAATGAATTACTCATTCACCTGATCAAGGAGTAAGGAGTAAGCCTATACTCCGAAACGTTGTGTTCCTCATAATAAAGAAGCTGACATCCATATATTCTCTTCCTTATGTGAATCACTTCTAAATGCCTTTCAAAGACCTGAGTCGAAGAACATTTACACAAGTAAGCGGGTAGAAGCAGAATTCTCACATGACAGCAAGGAAATTGGCACAAATCCTATAGTCCTTTCACAACTGCCCACAAGTTAAAGAATCATAAGGATGAGTAGAAATTTGCCCTTCTTAAGGCTTTGTTTTGCTGTTTGTTATCATTATAAGGACATGTGGACTAAAAATGTAAGTTTCCATCGCTGTACTATCTGTAGGACATCTGACAAATTCTGACCTGCCAACAGAAATGGCATTACATGACTGACAGCTTTTCTATACAATGTGCATTTTGTCTCTTCCTCAATAATACTTTATCATCTCCCCGTTTCAACACGTAGCCTGTGATTAGGAATTCCAAAGCATGTAAGACAAATATGTGGGTTAATAGGGCATGATATGTTGATATGTGAGGGATCAATCATAATTAAAAGAGTAAATGACTTAATCAGGTATTAATTAGTGCAGCTTGTGTCATTGATTGATCACATCCCCTTCTCGTACTTACATTGCTGCTTTCGCTTATGCAGACGATGTCGTTCTATTGGCAGAAAATGCAGCACACTTGCAAACTCTCCTATAAGCCCTGAACACATGGTGTGAAGATAATAAGATGTATATAAACTCAGAAAAATCCAAGATTGTCCACTTTAGAGGTCTTTGCATTCCAAGAACAGCAACTGTATTCTATTCTGGTGATACAGAGCTCCAGATAAGCTTTTGGCGTTGTGGGTATTTTACCCATGCATTTTAAAATCATTGGGTATCGGTAATTCTATCTGGGTATTCAAATTTCTGTTACCCACTAGTTTTTACACATGTGGGTATTTAAGTTAAATATTTAAAAACACTATTCATCTAGTCCCTGCAAACTGGTGTCGTGTGGGTTCGAGAGCTTTATCATGTTTATAGGACTCAAAAATACTACGATACTTCCACAAGAAAGTGTGATGGCAAATGATCATGATGTGACTTTCATCGTGGAATTTGGCAAGGTTGACGGAATGCCTGTTTATAATTTCAAAATAAGTTGCTGATTTGCTAATCGAATATGCAGGGTTACTTCACAATATTTTGATGATACGCCTAAGTTTTACTTTTGTAGCGTATCTGTTGATACGCTTGGATTATATTTTACTGCGTATGTCTGCATTTCTGATGCGTATTTCACGCAGATACGCAGCTTATCTGGAGCTCTGGTGATATCGTTTTAGGCGTTGAAGTTTCATAAGTTATCTTGGTGTGCTTTTAACCGAACATCTAGACTGTAATGCAATGGCTAAATGTGCAGCGAAATCAGCAAACAGATCCCTGGGACTTTTAATTTCTAAATACAAAGCACATGGTGGTATGCCATTTAACGTTTTTACCAAACTATAAGACACTATGGTATGGTCGGTTTTAAACTATGGATCGGCAATATGGTGAACGACAGAGCATTCTGCTGTCAATGCTATCCACCATCGAGCTATTCGATTTTTCCTCAGACTTGGAAAACATGCACCAAACATTGCAATAAATGGGGAAGTAAGTTGGACCCAAACATATATCAGATCATGGACAACAGTCTCAAGGCATATATCAGATCATGGACAACAGTCTCAAGACATATATCAGATCATGGACAACAGTCTCAAGACATATATCAGATCATGGACAACAGTCTCAAGACATATATCAGATCATGGACAACAGTCTCAAGACATATATCAGATCATGGACAACAGTCTCAAGACATATATCAGATCATGGACAACAGTCTCAAGGCATATATCAGATCATGGACAACAGTCTCAAGACATATATCAGATCATGGACAACAGTCTCAAGACATATATCAGATCATGGACAACAGTCTCAAGGCATATATCAGATCATGGACAACAGTCTCA